AACTTAGAACCCGATTCAAACAAGCCCACATTGGATTGGTTTTTATATTGGAAAAGATTAAAAAAGCTCAAAGGTGCAAAATGTAATACATTAAAGAAAAGTAAAAAGCTTGCTATGCAATTGAAGTGTCTCTTAGAAAGTTTACCAGTCCTCAAAACATTGGCAATACGAAGACCAGATATTTATATGAATAGCGAATGTTTAGCATGTAACAGTGGCATAGTAGAGACCCAGGATCACCTAGCTAAATGCAATCACTATAAATTAATGTGGCAAAGTATTGAGACTACAACTTTAGATCTGATATGGTCTAAATTTATGAAAGAAGAAAAGAAGAGATGCCCGAAAAATCTCTTGTCTAAAATTCTAATTGGGGAGACAGATCTTGTTAGGCAAGAAAATAGAAAGCTATGGATTAAAGGCCTAACCATGTTGGACTCATTTAATAGAATCTTGAATCTATAAATTTCATCAAAAATGACATCATATATTACAGAACTTGCCACACACATAATTTGAAACAGTTTTTATGATTTTATTTGGAAAGACAGATGCATCAAGATTGTCGATTGGAAAAAGAATCATAATATAAAAAAGAAGAACAAAAGAAGTAAGAAGACCAAAGTAATACAGCCAAAGAAGAATACTCCAACTATTCGTAAAGAAAATTTCAAAAGAGAAGAGTCTGAAATATTCGTAAAGGATAAGGAGAAGTATAACGTATGGTATGATGTAGTAGGAAACTGGATACAAAAAGGTGTAAACCCCTTTTGGACAAGCTCATAAAAGAGTCTATTTCTAGCTTATCCGTAAGCCAGTGCGATAGGTTGCATCCAGGTAATCTTTAGATAACCAGGTGGAGTTGGGCTTTTATTTAGTCTTAGAAATTATGTATATAGTTTATATGTACTACAAACTAAAAGTTCGAGTCACAACAAGACCTATCAAAGAATAAAAAAAAAAATAAAAAAAATAATGAAGAATTTGAAGATATAATAGAAGAAATTAACATGGATATGGCAGATGGTTTGTTGTATTCTAAACTTTTTAATTCATATATTTTTAAAATTTAAATTTAATAAATAAAACATAATACTTGAATCTGTCCTTTTTTCATAAAAGAAATAATGAAAGAATATTTTGATTTTGCAGCTTTTTATAATAGTCAAGAAGAAAGAAATATGAACTTACAAGAATCTATCACTACTAGTGATAAATAGTCTGTCGAAAATATCATTTTTTAAATAATCAAATAGTATAGTTATTAATCGAAGAATGCTATTAAATAAATATAAAAAATGCTTTTATTGTTAAGTAATAAATATTATAAACTTAGCATATTTTTGTAAACCTTTAAAATTGCTCTCTTATAAGAGTATTTAAGCCATCTAACCTGTAATATGTACATATATACGTATGTACTTAAAATAAAGCTTATCAGTTATTATTACTATTACTGAAATATTGACAAATCTGAAGCAATATACAATTTGTCGAATTATTATTGATTATTAATCGATAGTGGCATGCCATGGTATGCTAGTGGTACAGAAATTAGAATTTGGCATGCCAAGTGGCATGTAAAATTTTTTTTGCATGCTATGAACCCTACTGTTTATATTCTCTTCTCCTTCATTCCACATCTTCTTCTTCTTTGTCCCACTCCCAATCTCCTACTTTCTCACTCTCTCACTCTCTTTTTCTCTTACTCTTTGTCTCCCTTTCTCTCTTTATTGTTTTTTTTTTTATAAAAAAAATTTTTTTTTTTTTTTTGCCAAATGTTTGTCACTAATTAAAAAAAAAGACAGTTATAATAAAAATTAGTGATAGATATTTGCTAAATAGTAGAGAGTAAACTAGCTTTTAGAACCCGGTTATTACCCAGGTTCGAGTTTCTAATTTTTTGCTAATTTCTTAGACTTTAACAATATTAACTCTTAGAACCCAGTTGTTACCCAGATTCAAGTTCTAACATTTTGCTAATTCTTAACTATAAATTATATTAGCTTTTAGGTTTTGGTTATTGGCCGGGGTTGAGTTTTTAATTTTTTGCTAATTCTTAAATCTTAACAATATTAAGCTTTAACTATATTAGCTTTTAGGACTTAGTCATTAACTGGATTTGAGTTTCTAATTTTTTATTAATTCATAAGTCTTAATATTACCTGGGTTTTGGTTTTTAATTTTTTGCTAATTCTTAAGATAATATTAGCTTTTAAATTATATTAACTTTTAAGACCTAGTCATTGCCTGATTCATATTTTTAATACTATATTTTGCTAATTCTTATGTCTTAATAATATTAGATTTTAGAACTTAGTTATTGTCTAGTTTCAAGTTTTCTAATTTTTAGACCTTAATAATATTAGCTTTTAGGACCTAATTGTTGCCTAGATTTGAGTTTTTAATTTTTTGCTAATTATTAGGTCTTAATGATATTAGCTTTTAGAACCTAGTTATTAACTAAGTTTGAGTTTTTAATTTTTTGCTAATTCTTAAGCCTCAGCATTATTCTTAAACCTTAAATATATTAGCTTTTAGGACTTAGTTGTTGCCTGTATTCAAGCTTCTAATTTTTTTTAATTCTCGGATCTAAATTATATTAGCTTTTAAAATTTAGCATTGTATAATTTTGAGTTTGTAATTAAGCCTAATTTGGGTTTAAATAGATTTGAAGTAAATTCAAATAAATTTGATATGGATTAAATAGATCCAAAGTAGTTCAAATTAACTCGATATGGGTTTAAATGACACAAAGTGGTTTAAATTAACCTAATATGGGTTTAAATTAGGGATGTTAAAATGTTTATATAAAACCTGCTTAAGCAGGTTTAAAGCACAAACTTTTACAGTTTGCTTATAAATTTTTCAAGCACTGCTTAAAAGCAAACATGCTTAATCTGCTCAAAGCAAACATGCTTAATCTGCTCAAAGCAAACATGCTTAATTTGCTCAAAGCAAACATGCTTAAACAAATATGCTTTAAACTAGAAGTGTTAAAATGCTTATAAGTATAAACTTTTAAAGGTTGCTTGTTAATTCTTTAATATCCTGAATATCAAAATCCCGACTGTACTAAATTCCAATGTATTAAATTTTGAAAGAACAAAACCCTAAAGATAATATCCTAAAAAACCAAATTCTGAAAAAAAAATATAATTATGAATTTTTAATTGTTTTTTTTCAGTTTTTAGAATATTGTCTTTTCAGGATTTTGTTCTTTCAAGTTTTAGAGTGTTTTCAAGCACTTCAATTAATGGATCAAAGTATGTCAAAAATGTGTTGAAAATTAAATTTTAATTAACAGAAAGTAACTTTAATTAATCAATTGAGCTTGTTATTAAGATAAATAAAGTAGTTTATTACATGAAAAAAATTTTAAATAGTAAAAAAAAATAAGTGAGTTTGCCATTTCAGTCAAAAAACCTTTCTCTAACCACATTTTTTTTTGCCCTGTTATCAACATATATTTTTTGTAAAATTTTCGATAAACTATTTAGAATTCTCTCAACCTGTGATTGAGATCCCTATTATTGCAATTAAGCATCACTACAATTATTAAAAAATTACTGTAATAGCAATATTTGAGCATATTTTAATAATATCGTCATTCATATTATTGACTTTTATTTATTCAAAATATCATGGCAATAACTAAAATACAGCATAATACTTGTGCACTATTTAGATCACTATGAAATTGCATTTTGAAAACACTCTTAGTATATTAAAATTTAGCACAATTGAGATTTTGATATTTGGGATATTGATACAAAATTGCTTAAAACAAATATGCTTTAAATGCTGCTTTTAAACCTGCTTAAAACAAATAAACCTGTTTTAAATATGCTTCTAAAATTATTATTATTGTTATAAATTAATAGATATATTGTACAGCTATTAAATAACTATGCTATATATTGTTTTAACAATATTTTTTTTCGAATGCACATGCATGTGTATTTTTTAAAACATATAATCAACTACCTATAATTAAATCAGCAATAATCAAAAAGTGGTTCTGGAATTGGCTATAATTATATCAATATTTGGTATTAACAGTATAGTATAGCCTTTAAATGCCACAAAAGCCATATACTATAATATCATATTGATATATTCTTGTTTTTACCAAGCACCTGGAAAATGTGTACCAAATTAGTGTACAAGCACCCGGATGAGCATAAGATTTAACTGCAGATTGAACAATTTTTAATATAATAAAAAATAATACCAAATTATTTATTAAAAAACTAATCTTTTACAGATAATATTATTGAAAACTTAGATCTTTTGCTTACAATAACCACCACTTACAATAATATTTATAAAGCACCTTTTTTTAATGAATTAGTAAATATATAAATACTATCTCTTAAGCTGTAGAGTTCGTGTAACAATTTTGGCTTAAAAATAGCATAAATTTAGTTATGATCTATTTTTTTTAATATT